TATTCCCTGCCTGGCCTCCCTCGGCCACGCCCTGTCTGTGGTCAATGCAGCATGAGAGGAACTGTGTCCAAACAACAGTTGTAGAGCGGACGGCCCCGTTCCTCCTCCTCACGTTTCTTCTTCTTCTCCTCCTTCTTTTTCTTCTTCTTCTTCTTCTTCCCTCTCCCTCTTCCTCGACGACTTCCTCCAGTACAGGAACCAATCAGGGTGCAGCCAGAACTCTGGGGGTTTGGGAGGAGGCTGAAAACACCGGTGGCGGTGCTTGAGAGGATTTCTTTCATGTTCTTTCGTTTGGATGTGATACTTAGTGCTAAAAACCTGGTTTTCCTGTTTAAATACTGCTGAGACTAATTAGTCTTAGAGTGAACACAGTTAATGAGTAAATCAGTCATTATGAACGATTAAATATAGACCAAGTGAAATGATGTTACACTGAGCCCATAATTATATTCTTTTGTCAGGATTAGTTTCAGAAAAAAAAAGTCATTTCATGAATTTGAACAGTGAAAATGTTTCATCAAACCAGAGAAGAAGAATCAGCTGCAGTTTGTCAACGTTCCTCTGGGGGTTTTGGTCAACGTCAAACATTATTATCGTTATTGACCAATTGTTTGGTTCTTGTTTTCTTTAACTTGTTTTTAAGCTAATTTAAACTCTAAGATTTCACTGGTTCAAACTGGTTTCTACTAAATCTCAAACAACTGAAAACCTCGGCAGTGTTTTTGTCCACGCTGAGGTTTTGTTCATGGTGATTTCTCTGCGATTGTTTCTCTTTTTTATCCACAGTTTATTTGACTCTCGGTGGAGTTATTTTTGTGTTTGCTGTTTAATTTATTTTCTCTGCAGCTTCTTTCACTTCTTCTTGTATTTTTGTACTCACTTTAATGAGGCAGAAGTACTTACGTGTACTTTGGTGGCAGTGGTCGGTCATGACCTTAAATAAATGATGACTCTGCGCTAATTTGTTTTGCCTTTTTAATGGCATGCCAGGTTCAGGATTTAACTGTGTCCCTCCTCCCCCTCCCCCCCCAAACCCCCGCAGACCTTGACTCAGAAGAGTGTCCACTTCTGGACTCGGCTGCAGGAAGGATGGCTGCTGGATCCGGTTTTACTTTCTTGGCCAAACTGAAGCAGAGGAAGTCGGAGTTCATTGTTTTCAGACGCTCAGAAACGTCTGTGTGTTTGTGGCACGGTGGCACAGTGGCACGGTGGCCTGTCGGCGATGTCATGTCGCAGCTCTAAAGGTGCCCAGTTCAAAGAGAGCAGAGAAGTGTGACTCTGAGGCCATGTTGGCAGATCAGACAGAGACTCTTCACTTGGTGTTTGACTTTGACGTGTGTTTGCTGCACACACACAGCATCTGGTGTGAAACGCCAACACGGAGGGAAAGACTCTCGATCTCAGATATTTTTTTCTGCAATCAAATCTTCAAAGTGAACCTTATATGAAGGGGTCGTTATCAAAAAGCTGGTGAAACCTGTTAAAGAGCAACGGAGGAACTTGAAGGCATCACGGTGTGATGAAATACTGACACTGTGTCACACTGTGACATTCTTCTGTTCATGTCAGTGTGTGTGTGTGTGTGTGTGACTGATGTGTCTCCATGTTGATCAGGTCAGAAACAGTCAAAGAGCTCAGTTTACTGTTTCATTCCCACAGGCTCAGGACAGTGATGTTGATGAAGACAGTTTGTCCTGGTCCGGGTTAAAAAGCACTTCCAGTGTGAGAGCAGTTTTACTGACAGAGCAGCTGAAAGACAAACTGACCAATGAGGAAGTTCTTACTGTTGACCTCTGTCTTATTAACCGTCTGGGTGTTTTATTCTGAAAGGCTCCTAATCATACAGTATATCTGCCTGTCTTTGTGGGAGACGGACGTGAGCAGGACACTGAGTCTCCGTTAACGACACACAGAG